TGTGTTTAAAATTAGGCACCTGCCGAAGTACCTTGCTGAATTAGGGCCTGAGTGATTGCACACATGCAAAATATAACTGATGTCAATGGCAATAATAGGAACCCATAGAAACTGGTACTCTTGGCAGCCAGCTAGTTTGTCTATGCGTGAAAGCTGCTTCTGATTATTGTACTCATTTTTAAAAGTGAGATTATGTGCTGAAGCCAAGCTGACAGAATGACTGAGAAATGTAGTTCCTAGAATCACTATGCCCAAACTGAAAAAAATATTGCAGTTATTGAAAATAGAAAATTATCTATGATTGTATGTAAGAAAAAACACTATACTACAAATGCTTCCTTGATTTTAGTAAATGGCTATGCCTAGGGGAAAACATTTAAAAAAGATCATGGCTATAAGTCAATAACAAAATATTTAAGAGTGTGAATGCTCAGTCACTCAATATTATCATCTTCATGCAGAATCTGTCTAAGAAGCAAGAATTTTGAATAGATTTTAAGCTTTATGCGATGATAAGAAGTACATAAGGAAATTTATTAATTTTCTAGGGAAATGCTTGCAATTAAGGCAAATTTATGAAGAGGCACCTTAAAAAAATTGTCTTCATTCCTGTTGAATAATATATTTCCTTCTGTTATCTAACAGAGCTGAGGAATGTTTGCATAGCATGCACAGGTAGAAGGAATGAAACAATTTACAAATATGTTGGCTTGAAATTATGGCACTTTCAAGCTGAGTAATTTGCTCATTCTATTTTCACAGTTCTAAGTACTGCAAATACTGCAAAAAGATTAGTCTCACTTATTCCTTCTCTCTGATGCTATCACTCTCAAAAGCTGATCTTATTATGTCATGGGATCTTATTATGCCATGGAGGAATACAATAAGGCCAGATCCTTTTTCATTGATTTATCATTAATTTATCTTCTGCTTGTTCCAAGCTAATATGATGAGGAGCATGGAGGTGAACCTCTTTCACCTGTAGAAATGAGTAAGTCTTATTTTTTCAAAGAAAAGCCAGAGGCATATCTTTTTCTGCTCAATGTTCTCCCAATCTTTTCAATAATGTTCTGCTCAATGTTCTTCAGTTCTTTTCAAAAGCGTTTAGGTGCCCCCACAGACAGATCCTAGTAGTCCAGAGACACTTATCTCTCCATTCTCCATGGGTAGTCTTAACCTATTTGAGGATAATTCCACCCTGTCAGAATTTAATTTGATCCTAACAGTGTAAGAGGGAGAGTGTTTAGGGATTTGGGATCTCAGTGAAAAGATGTCTACTTGCATCAGTGTGTGCAACTTAAGAAACAATAGCATTGACTTGAACATAAACTAAGCTCTCTTGCTCTGGAAGCCAGATGGCTAGAGAATGATCAAATTAGGTTCCTGGGGCCACTCAGCCTCTGAGGGCAGAAATCCAGCTCTTCTGTGTCAGGTTACTAAAAGGGATGGAGCCAGTGGTGAATTCAGGGATGGGGGGGATCCCTTTGATTCCTGTGCCACTTAAAATTTTAAATGAACTAGCTGACAGTAGCAGCAGCTTTTCTGTTCAAGCAGCAGTGAGTGAGTCACTTGGCTTTGTGACTCATTATAATCTACTTGATTCTTTCTCAAATCTTCACTCCACAGGTGTTAATAGCCCTCTCTCCTTTTCACCAGTATTAATGTTCCACTAAACAAGCTATTCTTCTGCATTTTTGCTGAGTCTTAGTTCCTCCTGGTAAGGTAGCTCCTATTTCCTGGCTCTGCAGATTGTTTTTAGCTCTAGCTGAAAACATTAACACAGGTGAACATTAACTCAGGAAATAACTAGGTGAAGTATTGGATGCAGAGTCAATAGGCTCATGAAGGCTTACATTTATTTTATGATTCAGAAAGAGATGTATATTTATTTATAAGAAATACAGCACTCAATAAACATAATTTTTGCCTAGTTTGCCTATTTTGTTCTATTATTCGATTATTTTTGCCTATTATGTTCTATTTTTAATACAAAATGTATGATATATTAATTAATTAATACACATTCCAATAAAGTTATAATAATATAGCCCTAGGTACCTAGCATATTAGCAAAGCTTCCAGTTTCTTTTTACCTGGAGAAAAAATATGTATATGCACTGATGCACCACATCATCTGCACATTAGGTCTGTGCAAGGCTTCGGACCATGCATCGGATCCGGAGAAGCTTCGGATGCTTCGGCATCTGAAGCAGCATGTCTGGATCAAAGCACTGGCTTCAGTAGGCTTTCCAAAGCTGTTCAGAGCTTCCAAACTCCTTCAGAAAAGCTTCGGAGCTGCCTCGGAGATCTGGCTATAGGGTATAATGGAGTATCAATGAAATATTGATCAATGAAATATTGAAATATGACTATTGTTTTTCATCTGATTTGGATGAAACTTGCAGGAGTGGTAGTCTCTGCTGGGAGCATGAAGTCTGCCAAGTTTCAAGAAGATTGGTGCAGGGGTTGGGGGGAACTGCACCTCAAGCTGCTGACAGGCAAAACTTGTGACATAGATGACCCTGTGCGTGTTAAGGTGCAGCGGGCTGAAAACTGTAGGAGTGGTAGCCCCTGCTGCAGCCATGAAGCCTGACAACTGTCAAGGAGATAGGTGCAGGGGGATTTAACTTTAAACAAAGCTATAGATATTTCATTGATTCCCTATTATACCCTATGGCTGGATCTCCGAGGTGGCTCCGAAGCTTTGTAGCCGCTTTGGCTGGATCAAAGCAGAAACCCAGTCCAGAGCTCCAGATCGGATCCCTGGCATCCAAAGTGGCTGGATCAGAAGCCGGATCAAATATGTGCTTACTTGCACAGGCCTACTGCACATCTCTGTGGCTCAATAAAGTGAGTTCTACCCTGGTAGAGGTCACCTGCTCTCATGGCTGCTTATGCATTTAACCTAACGACTCTTTTATGCCAAATGTGTCACATGCATCTGGATTCATGCCATTTTAAGTAATGGTTTTATTTTGGCTTACATCTTAATTCCAAACAGCTTGCTCTGGCCCAATGGAGTTGTGTCAGTCTGAGGAGGAAGAAATTCTGTGTTGGACTGCACAGGGAGCTTGAAAAACAAACTTATCCCCAGCAATTAGTATGCCAGCTTCATCCTGCTTTGTCAGGTGGATGCAGAGAGAAATGTCACAGTGTGATTTCAATGTAAAGTGCAATTTCAGGAGAGATTTGGCAGTGGAGATCTGTCACCGTCCTGTAAAGCTAAATAGTGTACACATGTGGGCTTGTTTTTTTTCTGACAGGAAGGTAGAAATCTTCTATTTTTCTACTAATAATCTACTAGGAATTATTTTCTTTTTAGACAGAGAAGAAACCATCTCCTGCCCTATCACCTGTCAAGAATTCTGGGTAATATCTTCAAACATTCCAGGTCTGCATGGCAAAGATATTACAATGAGGACTTACACTAGAAAGTTTTCTGAACACTACAACAGCGACGTATAGTCCATTCTCACACATAGCTGTCCAGCTTTAAAAGAAGTGCTGGAGAATGGCCAGTATAATGGCTGACCTGTGGAAACTAAACCAGGGTCAGGCAAAATATTGCCCTTTAGGTGGATTTGGCCTGCCAGGCCATGCCATCTGGCCCCCAGTTCCCTTAAAAATTTTAGAAAGTTAATTTTTATCTGCCCTGGCTGCCTGTCAAAATGCCACCCTTAGACACCTAAAGGCCACAAAAGTAACGCTTAAGGGCATTTATCCATGTGCTCTAGGAGTTGGGGGGCACTATAATTAGAGAGGCTCCAAGAGTCACTCTATTTAGAGTGCCTGGAGCATCACATCTATCAGCTTCCCCACACTGAAAAATGGTGGTGGGAGCACTTTAACTAAAGCTTGTTTGACAAGCTTTAATTAAATTGCCCCTACCACTGTTTTTCAGTGCAAGGAGGTTGATAGATGTGACACTGGAGTCTGCTATAATGCGTTAATCAAGTCTGCTCTGGAGCACATTAATAGAGTCTTCTCTGATGCCCTGTAATTTCAACATGTTGGAGCAGCCTCGTTACACGTGTATAGGTGCCTGTTAGACCCAGACTCCAAGCAGTGCCTGACTAGGGAGACAACGGTCCATTTACCCATGAATCCTGTTGCTCATTAGCCAGAGCACAGCAGGGAGCAAACACCATCACATATTGCTCGCAACAACTTTATTCAGAATGGAGACAGTTTCAGGCCAGCTTGCTCACCGATAGAATATGGGGAGCCACAATGAGCAATAGTTTTCTCCCATATTTATACACTTTGGTTTATACTCATTAACATTTATTTTCCCCTTTCCCCTGCTATGTTCCACCCATTTCTACTCCCATCTCAAGCTCCACCTCTGTTTACTGCTTGCTTCATTAGCATGGAATTGCCTATGCATTTTACTCATCTACATGTCTTTTTGCTATGAGTTCATATCTAAGACTGTGACTCCTTTTCTCAAGCAATGGGTAGAATTTGACCAAAACCTGGAAGCTTCTGGAGGCTTCTTCACCAATCACCATTCTCCTTTTTTGCATATGTTCATCTCAGATTCTGTTACCAATTATGTGTTGTTTTTCACATTACAGTCTGTTTTTTTGTCTCATGTTGTATCATCTTCCACCTTTTTTTGGGCCCCTGTATCTTATTTCGCTCCTCACTGTAGCTGGTTCACAGCACACAGATTTACACAGATTTATTTGCTGCTTTTCCCTCAGAAAATGGTTGACACAGTTAAAGTGGTTACTTAGCAAAAGCAAATGGTTGGGTTAGCTATCATTCTGCCTTGTGGTCAGCAGCTCTGCTAGGCCATAGGTCAAAGCCTTGTATTCAGCTGCAGATTCAGTGCTTCCTAATATCCAAATATTGTCACCCTAACAGTGTCCATTGTTTTTTAGAGTTAGAATAGGATCTGGACCTGAATCCTTTTTTAATGATATTGGAGCACACTTAGCAGATGGACCTTTTACCTCTGAACAGAAGTCAAAAATAAGATTCAGGGTATGAGGGTAATACATTAAAACTAGTTCAGACAACTTGTTACTTATCAATAGCTCATCCATAAGAACTCCATGCAAATTTGCTTGGTGAGCTAGCAATGGATTTTGATATGTAAGTATGATATGGGATTGACAGACAAATAATTATAATAATTCAAGTACGTGTTAGAAAAATCTACTGAATATTTCCAAATGGATTTATACAATATCTAATGTTTCTTAAACATAACAATTCAAGGTCCCGGTTCCAAGTAGCCAGATTTATTTTCTGTTTCTGAGTGTGTGGTCATGGTATGAATCAAAATCCAGAATTTAATCTTGACTCCACTGAAATCAGTATTTTTTCACTGACTTTCCCCATGTCAGGATTTCACCTCTGACCAATAAACAACAAAGTTGGTACTTTCAAAAACTCTTCAGTGGGTGCATCTACATATGCATTTGATCCAGGCTCAGTTTACTCTGGTGTAAGTGTTCTGGACAGGCATCTACACATGAGGGGATTAGGGATCAGATTTGCACCCAGACCCCTGCATCCATCCCAGGGCTGCCACTACCAGAGCTGTCACTGCTGCTGCCACTGGCAGCGAAGCTGGTGAGGGGATCCATGATGCCACTGCCAGGACTGCAATCACCCTCCTGGGCCTCCAGCCCCATTGACTCTAGGCCCATGAGGCCAGCCAGGATTGGTAGCTGCACATCATCCAGCAGACCTGGAATGATGTGAAGTGGTTGGACAGCTTCTGCATGGTGCAGGCCAGCTTCTGCGACCTGCTCCATTAGCTCCAGCCCCAGGAGGAAGTGTGGCTCACAGAGGATGACTGACGACAGCAGTGGACCCCACTGCTGAGGCCCCAGGAGAGCCATGCATCTGCCAGTGGAAGCCAGGTCATTGGGTGTGGGAGGCTTTAACTGACCACCTCCTCTTGCACTCCGTGCTATAGCCCACCTGCCCTACCACCCACAGACCCCCCGACAGCCCAACATCAGCATCACACTCACTACAGCCTTGTGTCAGAAGAACAAGTCTTTATTCCTTTCACATCACATAGGCACTCCTCCAACCTTCCTTCCCAACAAACAGAGCCCCCTCCCACCTCCCTCCACAACAAAGTCCCTCTACCACCAATCCTACCCACCAACAATAAAGAAGCCCTCTTCCCTGTGCAAACCATTTACAAAGTGATTTGTGTGGTTTCCTACTTGTATTTGCAAGGAGGAAATATAAGTGGGATTAAGGGTTTTTACTAAACAGTAAGTGCATGCATATATAGACACGTTCACTTACTGTACAGTAAAATACTAATGCACAGTAACATGTCTTGTATAGACATGTCTCCAGTGACTATAATATTAGGAGTAATTCAGGAAAATAATGGTGAGAAATTAATAATTTGTTTCTCCTTATTCTTCTCTACCTTCTTGCATTTAGCACTTATTTCTTACATTGTATTTGGAACATAAACATTCTGGAGATGAGATAATCAGTTTTGTTCTGTGTTTTACATGACCTAACACAACTGGACTTATTCCAGGACTGGGACTTCTAGGTTCTTTGGTAATATTAATAATAATTATAAACATGGAAATTCTCTAAACAGTGTGTTTTTCCATGCATATCCCTTGCAATAAAATGGTTTGGAAAAAAAATTAAAATGGAAACCCAGAAGTTTTAATTTGAGCCAAATGTTCAGTAAAACTATTCAGTATATATTTTTAAATACTGCAAATATTTAACTTACTCCTAGTATTTTTTATTTAATCCTGAAGCCAGATTCACCAGAATTATCCTGCTTTTCTTAGCTTAAATTACATGAAAGGCATTTCATAAGCAGCTTAATAACATAGGTCTCAATCCTCTGGGCTCAGGGAACAAGAAGGAATAGGTGGATATCTACCTTTTTTCTCCTTAGGGCTTTCTAGTGTTTCATGGTTGGAATATACCTCTTGGTAACTTTCTACTGATCCAAGATGATTACAGTTCAGTCACATTGTGTCCTACCCCAAGTGTACTAGCAGAATGAAACCACTAAAAAGAGAAATCATAGTTATTTAAAGGGAAATGATTAGCTAAAACATTATTTGACATTTTAGGGAGTTGGTAGTAGGGTGTTGCTGTTTATTAAAGGGATAGAGCATTCTGATTTTCTATTCCAAAATTTATTTTTATTATTTCATATTATATATTATATATTTTTAAAACAAAGTTGAAATCAGATTGAAATAAAATGTTTGAATATGAACTAATATTTCTTTGTTTTAGTTTTTTCCATTTACAAGGAATCAAAATTGTGTGTGTGTTTCAAATTTTAAAAATATTAGCATAACAGAAATGGTCTTGAAATTGAAATTCCAGTTCCCAGTCAGCCTTTTTTAATCCCCTCTTTTGCTCCACAGTGAAATCTCAAAGGAAATGAAGCAGGGAGTATGCATGTAGGTTCTTTTTATTTGTTTCTTTTTCATCAGTTTTATGTGAGAGTATTTATCCCCCAAGGGAAAAATGGTGGTAAAAAATAAGTAGCCACTGTTATATCTTATTTCCCTACGGTTAGTTCCACCTCTCTAAAAGTAATTTGCATGACTTTTTAAAACTATCTTTATATCTTTAATATAAACCAAATTAAAAAGCCTTGAAAAGTTGTTTATTTACTCCCAACAGAATGTAACTATTAACATGTTATAATTTAAAGCAACACTTGATTCTTATTCGACATCCAGTTATTATTAAACATTTCTCAAGTTCACCATTAATACCTAGTAATTATCAACTATGTGGTTAATATTTATTACTCCCCATATTTGGTTACTACCTTCTTAATTACAAGGTTTCAACTGTATCATTTAACAGCCACGCATCTTCACTTAACAGATGAACATCTTTCATTTAAAAATGTGATTTCCTTGTTCCATTTATTAATGGAAGTCCTTGATGATAGAAATGGATTGCAATGACCATCAAGGGAAATTATTTAAGTATCAGTAGCTTAACATTTTTATTTCCTACAACACCTACCAAATTTATTTTGAAAGCAGTATTCGGTGACAACATATAACAGGTTTTTAATTCTCATCTCCTGCAGATTATAATACTAGAACTCCATCAAGATGTAAGTATATGACTATTTCTGAGAAAGAAAGAAAATGCCCTGTAAGACTTGGTGAGAACTTAAGTCTCACTGGGCACATCTACATGTGCATGTTAATATGAAGCAATCAATCAACTATGAAGCTTACTGCCTTACAGTGTATTGCTCTGGACATACTGTCTTCCTGTGTGCCCAGGCCTGCAGCATATTGAGCTGCATTGAAGCAATCCTGGCTGGCAAGAGGCCCCAGGGATCAGCCTGCCACCTGGGGTTGCTACAGCCTGGCTCAATGTGTTGTGAAGGGGCTGGCTGGGACACAAGAGTGCTTCTGTATGGGTTTAGCTGGAAAGCAGCCCCCACAATGAAGCACCCTCATGCCCCAGCCAGCCAGAGCAGTGTCTATGTGTGTGCTGCTGTGGAGTAAAAAACTCTGCAGCAGAACGGTACTTGTAGTTACAAGTATTTACTAAGTTATTCCACTCCTGCTGTGGAGTAAATTATTTTATTGAAGCCTAATGGGGTGCACACATAGACACACAACATTTACTGCAAATTTAATTAGTTTACTGTGCAGTAACTGTCTTGTTTAGATGTGCCCACTCAGAATCTTATAAGCTCTGCCCCTGAACTGCTTGAAGCTGAGATGGCATTTCCTCAGGAAAATGATTTGCTTCTTCTGGAAAGATGTTCTGGGAATTTCAATCCTAATTTAAGAGGTATTACCATGAAGGCATTAGCTAATGGTATTGTAACTGGTCTATATAAAACAAAAAGATTTCAGTGCATAAGGGTGTTATTACATGTCACAATTTGCATTTTCTAAACCTTTGGAAAGTTATGTGGTATTAAAGTTAAACCATGCTGTGAGCACTTTAAGGTTTGATGCCATCACTTACCTATGCAGCTCTGCCTTGCCATAAGAGGGCTGGCAAGCAGAGGTGTGGCTAGGAGCTTCCAATTCTGCCCTATGGCTCCCTGGCTATCTCCAGCTCTCCTGCTCTGTGAGGACTACTCAGCTCTGCAGCTCCCCAAGGGCTCACTGGCAGCTGCCCAACTCCCAAGCTCTCCAGCAGCTGCTCCATTCTCCCACAGCTCTCCTACTCTCTGGCGGTCCCATGGGTCACTGGCTATCCAGCAGCTGCCCAGCTCTCCAGATACTTATCTTTCTGGTGGGTTCCCAGTTTTCCTGAAGTCCTCCTGCTGGTCTCTGGCTCTCCCATAGCTCTCTAGTTCTCTAGGAGCTGCCCAGTGCTCTGGCACTTTTGTAGCACTCTGGCTGTCTAGCAGCCATCTGGCTCCCCAGCTCTACATTTAACCTGCATCTCCATGGCTTTCTACTCTCTATCTGCCTGGGGTAGTAGAATTTAGGAAGATAGATTATCGACAAAGGTTAGCGGGAGGGGAACTGGAAACAGACATACTGGGATGACGGTAGATGACAAATTGCTCGTATTGGTCCCATGAAGCAGACTGACATTACAGTAACACATTGGGCTCATCTACACAAGATGCCTCATGTACACAAGATGCTATTAGCCTAAATTTAAGGTGCATTAAAGCATTCATCTACACACATGTGCCTTTAATGCACTTTAAAAATGGTGCATTTAGGTTATTTGTGCCTAGATTTGATACCTGCAAATGCAAATGCAGGTATCAAATTTAGGTTTGAATGGTTAAAGCACATTAATGAATGTGTACCTATGTTAAAACACATTAACACTATGTGTGTGGACTAATTTGGGACTAATTTTGGTCCCAAGTTAGTCCACACACAGCATTAATGCACCTGTAGACACCTGCCTAAATCCACTTAATGTGCATTAAGCTAACAAGCATTACATTTAAGCACGCTTAATTGCATATGTAGAAATGCCCATTGTGTAACATCTGCCAGAGTACTCCTCACCCAAAGAGGCTTAACTTTAAGATGCTCAGAGGGAACTTGATATAATTTTTCCCACTTAAATGTGTGGACATCTGCATTGTAAGTACATTTAAATTATGCCCAGAGTAGTATCTAACAACAAACACCCTAAAACAGGGACAGCTAGATTCAAGGCATCTAATTTCAAAACTTTGAGCTAAACAATCCCTCCTCAGTTGCTGAACAATATTGGAGGATCCCAAAACTCACTAAGCATCTATTTGGTTGCCCTGAAAAGTTTCAAAGTAGCTGAAGGTCCATTTTTGCTCATTTACCTTCAGTCTAAGGAAAACCATGATCAAAAAACATGGCAGAGTTTCCTGATACCCTGAATGTTCTGAACTAGGAGGTATAATTAGAACCTACCTAACATACACTGAAAAGTTTGAGGTTTTCATAAAATGTATTTGTAACTACTTTATTTTTAAAATGTTGTGGGAGGTAAAGGTGATGGTGGTTGCACCATCTTTTTATACAAAAGTCGAGTGGTTAGACTACTCACCTAAGAAGTAGAAGACCTACATACTTGGCTCTTCTCAGCCTATGGAAATGTAAACCCCCATCTCCTGGCAAACTGCTATAAACACCTGGATGTGAGTTAGGTTTGGAGCTGAGGAGAAGCACTCCTTTTAAACCTGAGCCAATATTCAGAAAGGAATGAAAGATTCATTAAGCCAGGAAGAGAGAAGGAAGTTGACTCTGTAAACTAGTCATTAAGAAACTTCTCTGGGACTGGAAAGTATCTGTTCTCATTCTTGCTCCCATTATTATTTCTGTTTTATCCAATAATAATCTAATGCAAACTGCTAAAAAGTGATGACAAGAGGGTCAGAACTCAGGATTCAACTCTTCTCAATAAATATTCTAATTACTAAGCCACAGAGCCATGCTCCATCTTCCTAGCCACATGAATCTGGTGTGCCTTGCTGCATAGGTGCCCAGCTTCAACAGAAGAAGCACAGAGTACTTTTCCCTTTCTGTACACATCCACATGAGCCACACTAGATTTGTGGTCATGGCACTCTCTTACCAAACTGGACATGTGACTATGAATCCTCTTAGGCTAAGGAGATTTAAACCCAAGTCTCCCACTTTCTGGGTGAGTGCTTTAATCAGAAGATTACTATATAAAAGGAATATGGTGGTGGCACAACTTGTATTTTGTCCATGTTTTATTTAAAAAAGAAACAACATAATCCTCTCCCCATTCTGTTAAAATAGTTAAAGATACCTCCCCTTAGGTAAAAACTCTGAATTCTACTTTGAATGAGTGGAGGCTCCTGCCTTTAGCTTTACTAAGAAATGTAAGAACAAAAGACAGTGCAGGAACTCAGACAAACCCCTATGTTTAACATTTCCTATTGGGCAGCTCTTGGAGAAGCTTTCTTCACTAATTTTCCCTGTGCCCTGTACAGGAAATGTAAGGGAAATGAAGCAGATATGGGATTCTTCAAGAAGAAAGGCATTTATCCTAAGATCCGACAGACCTACAGGCCCATTGCGACCCTTTCAGTACCTATGATGCATCCACAATAACACTTTTTACTAGGACAATCATGGCTAACTTAAATTAATTGCTTTTCATTCCAGGGACAAGCTGTATGTGTAAAGAGCTGTCCTGATTCTAGGCTTTGACTTGGATCAATCACAAGGGACTCAAATGCAACATCTGTTTTTACTCTAAGAGCCAAAATCTGGGTTTTCTTTTAAGACACTTGCTGTTCTAGTTCCTCATTTAATCAATCAAATACATGAGGTTTTTCATGTTTAATTACAAGTTATTTGTTTAAATTGTATTGGTGGGGCAACTAGAATATGTTCTGTGTTTCCAGTAAGAAACAATTAACTCAAATGAGAGTTCAATGTAACACATTCTACTTGCAGTGAAAAAGTTGAATGAAGTTTGATTTATCCAAGCTTCTTCATTGTGAATGTTGACAATGTTTATTCAGTGCTTTGTCATAAATTCATTTAGAAAAAAAGAAGCTCTTTCGAAGAAAACCACCTTCTAAGAAATAAGCATGCTGATTTTGAGTTAAAATGTGGACAGAAGCAGCACAAACACACATTTCTCAAATATCTATTTTTAGCCTTAAAAATTATCCCAAAATGTATCCCATCTTTTGATTCTGAAAATATGGTAAAATCATAAATTTGCATTTATAAATGAAATAGAGGAAGTTGTCTGATTAACTTCAAACAAACAGTTAGTGTTTCTTCTTAAATGTGTTATTTGCAATGAGGATAACAGTGTAAATTGACAGTGATTATTTAAAGTGAATATACATAACCAATCACGTATAGGCAAATATATGACTGGAGAGAGAAAACTCTCCAGTTCTTTAGAAACTGCAGTATCAACTGTCTGAGTGAGACAACTTCATTTCAATATAATTTTGTTTTAATGTCAATACAATCAAATTTCTCATGGTGACTGCATTAACATTTTCTAAAAGGCAATTTAGAGAATCTTTTGTAACTCTACTGTATTTGATGCAAGGATATACGACAAAGGGAGATGTGGACAAATCCCTTTGTATATGGCTCGACCAATGCCGCACATCCCTAAAGGGGTATGCTACCTCCTCAGGGCACTTGTTTGCCATGACTTGATGGTAAAGATTGGAGAATTCTCTCCCAGAGAAGGGAAAAAAAAACGGTTCTACTATCAGGGCTGTGTCCAGTAATCCAAAATAATCAGTTATGGCCTGCAACCGAGTGACACAGGCCTTACAGGGGGCTCCTCCAACCTCAGGAACCCTGCCACAGTCCTCTGGGTTTAAGTACAGGCTCTTGCTGTTAAGGCAGGAGCTCTCAGTATCTTCCTGGATGATTCCCAAGGAGCCTCTGCAGTCCATTAGAAACAAAAATGCAAAAATATTGGAAGGAGTATTCCTCACCCCTGGCCTCCGTTGCTGTCTGATACAGGGTTTCCCCTCTTACTACTGCTTGTGTCTTTTTGGGCTTTCCACCCTGCACTCCCAGCCGATTGATGCTGGTTTCTTGTACCCAGCTGTAGCTAGTCTGTCCTGTTTTGAGGGGAGACAACTGGGCTGAGTTAACATCAAGTGAGTTCTCCCCTGAGATTATAAACAGCCCGGGCTGTTCCAGCCCCATCTTAGTGTTTCCAAATAGGATTTCACCTTCCCAGGGGTTTTTTTTCTCAGTGGCATCCTTAAGGGGGATGGGCCATCTCTGTGTTCTCTTAGGGCTCACTGCAATACGGTCTTTCCCTGCTGAGATACTTCTCCCCTCCACTTGAAAGTGCTGTGCAGGTAAGGGTTTAGTTCTCTCCATGCTCCCAGACCTGTCTAGGGGCTTCTTCTGTTTGCTGCCTCTGAGCAGGCTCTGCAGCTGTCCTGCTTCAACTGCTCCTGTGTCCTGCCCCTTTACTGTTGGAGCCACTTGACTTCCAGGGAATATACTGTTAGGTGACATAGAACATAGAAGAGCTGAGTAATCCTTCATCGGACTACTGGTATCTGTAACATCTTCTCATTTTCTCTATCATCACATACTTCTGTCTAATTGTCATGCAATAGATATGCAAGAGTTAATTTATGGTATGTTCTGTATTTGTGTGTCACTTAAAAAAATGTTAAAGTACTAAAAAATAGCAACAGAATTATACTCTTATTTCCTTTCCAAATATTTACTTCTATCCAAAGCTGTAGCTGTACATCATTGAGTTATAGCATCCTTGCTAATGCCTGCAAATGGCCTTCTACAGGACAGAAGGCAAAATTATGGAGCTTGAAGCACACATTACCATTGTACAAGGTTTTCCAGATGTCTAAGTATCAAAATGATTTGTTTAAAATCTAAGGGCAGAGCAAGCCAAATGCTATTTATCAGCTGTAAAGAAGACAGAGACAAAGAAAGTCAATCTCTGGAAATATTTGATCTTTCCCATGAAACACCAAGTTGTCCATCACAGATGCAAAGAGCAGTTGGGACTGTGTAAATTTATAGTGTCCTGATGGAAATGTCTGATTAACTTTGTATTTCTAACCCAGATGGAGGATGTAAACTTTATACATGGAACCACGGTATTTGCCTTGTTACAACATATTGCATCCTGCAATGATAGCATGTTTAAGCAATGATAGAATTTCATATATAACAAAAAGCCAAAAATAAACAAGAAGTCATAGAAAGCAGGAAAAAGAAAGATCTCACTTTATCCAATATTATGAAATGCTAGACAAATATATGTCAACAAAGAAAAGGGAAATGGTTTTATGAATAAAACCAGTTATGCTTTCTTTCATTGTCAAAAAGTCTGGATAGTACTGAAAAAAATGAATGCCATACCTAATAATATATAAAATTTAATAATTCTTGGAGTTTCTGGATGGCAGGCACAGTTCCTTTCCCAGTGAAGATGGCAGCAAAGTGCCTATTCACATCAATAATGGAGGACCTCATTCTCAAATCCTTAGTACTTATTCTTCTCATTTTCTGCATTCTGTGTTCCTAGTCATGTATCTGAAAGTTTTTAAAGCAGAAAAACCTTTTTCTGATTAAATTATTAATGTTCTGCTAGTCTGTAAAACATGTTATAACATACATTGCCCAAATTTGTATTTTAATCACTATATTTGACTTTTTCTAATGCTAGATTATAAGATTTCCAGAACATTTTAAACATGTTTCCTCTATACAGTAATTTTAATATACCATGCATTATTACAGTATTAACTGAAGAATGAAGTATGCACAATGATAATAGATAAATAAATAGATCCAGAACAGACAGGATGTAAATCTCATTCAGGGTAAAAAATGGAACTTAAATTTACTTGAATTTAACATAGAAAAAAAGTGATATTCTTTTAAATGCCAGGACAACCATTAAATACAT